TTCTCCCTTCTAATTACTAACATTGGTGTTGACACTCTCGTTTGATAATCATTTAGTCTTTTGTTTTTGTTTTTTTTGAAAGATGTGTTTGCTTTCTCACCCTTTCTTTACAATGATCTTCATCTTCCTTATGGTAACATTTGAATTTTTAGCCTGATTCTAAAATGGAAATAACTTTTAAAATCTACTTTTTTTAAGTTAAAACTTGGTATGGATTTTAAAAATATTGTTAGGAAGTATTTTTGCCTGGATCGACTCCCCATAACATGGAAGAGCGCTTCTGAGACTTGGCGCTCGACTCTGTTCGGGAGAAAATTTGCGAACTCCTAATGGGTGTGTTGAATCTTGATTTTAATATGCCCATCGAGCAAGATTATCTATTCCCCACTGGGTTTCTATGTTTTTGACAGCCCATCTTTGTCTCAGTAGAGTTTTTCAGTGACATGTTTCGGTCCTCTTCCCTATTACTTAGAAAAAATGAACCACTGGTTTAGGTACAAGATACTATCATTACCGCTTGCACAATTAGACATCCAACCTGTAATCGCAATGACCCAATTGTAATTCAAATTCTGGATTTTCGAAATGAGAAATATCAAGAATTCTCACTATTTCTTAGATTCATGGACCCAATTGAGTAACAAAACAAAGAAAGTCATAGGTATAAATAGATTTTATAAGCTTAGTTTTCAAAAATAAAAAATCGAATGGTGTTTTTTTTTTGGGCGGAGGTTGAGAGTTGAGTTCGGATCCTGGTTGTGTTCTAACCCAGCGTCTTTTTTTTCAGTACACCTGCCATTCAATCTGAAATGAGGCTTTGTGTAACAGTATCTGTTTTTTTCTTAGTTCCACAGCCAAGATAAGAAGTGAAGTTCTGTCTCCATTTCGGTCTGTTCGGATGTTCTTTTATCTCACTTTCATTGCCAGTGGTACATTGGGAGGACTGATAGCAACCACTCAACTGCTTGCTGCATTGGCAAATACATCAAGAGCTGAAGAAGTCCCTGATATTCTAAATGGACTTGGAATAGACTTCGGAGCCGTAGCCTTTTTCGCATTTCTTTACTTCAGAGAGAACAATGCAAAAAATGCTCAGTTGGCAAGGCTGTCAAGAGAAGAAAGCCTTTCCAATTTAAAGCTTCGAGTGGACCAAAACAAAGTTATTACCATTAGCACTCTGCGTGGGATCGCTCGTCTTGTAATTTGTGCTGGCCCCGAATCCCTTATCATGGAAGCTTTTAAAACAAGCGAACCTTTCACCGAACGACTTCTAGAACGAGGGGTATTAGTCATACCCTTTGCCACAGATGCTAGTTCACTGAATTTTGAGTTTGATGAACGTGAAGAGATGAAGGATATAACCACCAAAAGGAAAAGACTCTGGCGCTTGACTCCGGTATACATGTCTCAGTGGTCAGCGTAAGTAACTATAATTAACATATATTTTCACATTGCTCCCCTCCTCCTTCCTCCATGTGATTTGCCTTTTCTTGTGAACAATAGGTGGTTAGATGATCAAAAGAAGTTGGCTGGAGTCTCCTCTGATTCGCCTGTGTAAGTCGTCCTCGTTGTTAAACTTGCATTTCAAATTGATGAAGTACAATGGTTGCCTCTTTAATTCTTAAACTGCCAGTCTAAGCTGTTTAGTGGTAATAAATAAATACTGCTTTGTTCCCTTTACTTTTGGCTTTGGTTCATTTTCGCTCTTATACTTTCAATATATGTTCATTTTGATTCTTGTACTTTCAAAAATGTCCAATAATCAGTTTTAAAAAGTCACCATTTTGTTTCCTATTTGCAAAATTTGAACATAAGTTTTACACATGATAGAAATCCTTTAGTACAAGTTTATGGTTTACATATTAAGAAATGGACTAAAAATGAATACAAAAATAGTTACTTTTTAAGTATAGGAACCAAAATGAACATTTCATTACAAAATTAAACCCGAAAAGTTTTTGATTCAAGTACTTTTAAAATGAATACAAATGTAGTTACTTTTTAAGTATAGGAACCAAAATGAACATTTTAAAAGTACATGAACCAAAAACTTTTCGGGTTTAATTTTGTAATGAAATATACTGTTTCATTAACCATAATTCATTAGCTATCCAATTTGAAGTCCCCATAGTTGCTATCTTATGTAAGCTGCACAGAGAAAAGGAAGGGAAAGGAACGGAAATGAACTTTTCTTTTTGCTGAATCCATGCCAAAGCTAGTTTACCTTGCAAAAGTTAATCAATTAATCCTTTATTTTTTATTTTTTATTTTTGTATTTTTTTTTATCTTCCGTAGCTTGCTGTGTTAATATTTGTTCTTGCAGGTATTTATCTCTGCGAATGGATGGCCGTGTTCGTGGTAGTGGTGTTGGCTATCCTCCATGGAATGCTCTTGTTGCACAATTACCACCTGTGAAAGGACTATGGTCAGGTCTTCTAGATGGGATGGATGGCAGAGTTCTTTGAAGAAAAACACTAGCTCTTCGTCCAAGTTAGTGCCCTTTTCACACGCTTCCTGTTGGTTATTAGTAATTATTTTCACTTCATTTCATCTAAAATCAACTCACAATCACTTCAATAAGTAGGGAAAAAATAGAGGAAAACGAGAAGATGAAAAGTATTCGTATTAATGAAAAATCATCACGATCCATTTGATTACAACATTTCTCTCTATTATTATGTTAATCCGTGCATTTAAAAGAGTCTTATACACTCACATGTGAAGATTATGCACTAATAATTGTGAAACGAAATCTTAAGAATGATTTCACTTGATTCACTTACGAAAGTTTTGGGCTTTTATTACACAATTATTAATTTGGAGTTTTAAGTAATACAATTTCCCTTGAGGTATAGATTGATTTTTTTTCCTATTCATTTGAAACTATAATCACACCTTTTGTATTACCTTTTGAGATGGCATCAAATTCCCCATATCTAATTGAAGTCCTATTAGTTGAACTACAGAATCTCTTATCACATATACATACATATATACATTTATACATATATAAATATACATATATATATATATATAGATATATAGAATCAACTGTTTTGAGAAATTAGGCCAATAATGTTGTCACTTTAGAAATTTTGGCCCTTTTTTTTGTATAATTCAACTCAAAATTTCTTGCTCCAAATTGGAAAAATTGTATTAGTTTGTTCTTGTTTTCAACTTTATGCTTAAACAGATATTTACGATCGAGTGGAGTAGGCGTTTTGTAATAATCTTTAAGCCATCCAGGATGTTGCCCTTGTGAAATCATCTCCAACACCATTGTCATGCTTGACTGCCTGAGAAATGGAACTGAATCTCATGACAGCAGAAATACAGGTGAGAGACTTACTTCTTATTTTTCGGGTGTTCTAATAACATAGGTCGAGAATATATATCTATACCAGTTGAGCTATACTCAATTTGGCAAAGGTTTAACGTTCTTCGACATCATAACATTTATATTGGATCTAGAATCCGATATTATTTGTTATTAGTATTTGCTCCAGCTATTACATTGTGTGGATGCAAATATGTTAATAGTTAGTTGAATATGTATTTAGATACACCCAGTATATGGTAATAAAGCGATTATACACTTTCATTCAATGTAAATAGCTATGTTTTCTTAGGAGTAATTTGGCATTAGAGTGATTCATTTCTTTTTTTTTTTTCACGAGAGTTTCATTCCATGTCTATTTAGTCTCTGACATTTTTAAAAGTGTAAAATTTATTTAGTATGTTAGGAGGTCGTCTAATATAGAATTGTTTCAAATAAAACACATTTAACTATAAAATATGTGCACTTTGTTGGTATAAATAGAGACTTTTAATTCTTTTAGGCATTTCTTAACTATCTTATTCTAAAGATCTATCTGATTCAGATGTAGTCTCTGTTTATTCATGTATCCCTCCCGTCCTCAGGTGTCATAATACAAATCAATTATCCCGTTATAGTTAAAAGTATAGTTTTCATTTGGTTTTTGAAAATAAGCTTATAAACACTATTTTTTACTTCTGTTTCTTTTATTTTGTTGGAAAATATGGACGTGATGGATAAAGAAAGCACATAAAAAGCAAACACAATAAATTTAACTGTAGAAAAGTAATTTTTTTTTTTTTTTATAATTTAACTTAATAGAAAAGTAATTTTTTTTTATTAGTAGAGGAGCTAGCAATTGACTACTTTTACAATCGAGTTCTTTCTGCGGTTCATTAAACAAGATAAAGTCTTTTAAAAAGTTTGATGAAAATTAGGACCCGCAACAACGTAACCTTAAGTTGTAACAAAAATATGTATCGTCACAGTGTTCTTGGTTATCACCACATTGTTCGAGATCTCAATTTTTATTCAACATTCTAATGAGTTTACTATCGATGGTAGTTTTAAAATACTTGCCAAAATTTCAACTAAATTCTTTTCTATAATTTAACTTAAGAAAACGTAAATTATTTTGAAAAACGAACTTTTGAATATTAAGATTCATAGTTGGATCATAAGATAGGATCGATTGTACCCAAAAGGGTAATTACAATAGCAAAACCTGAAATAAATGGGACAGTAACTTATAACAAAATTTTGGACTGTAACACAATTCTTGGTTATAAGCACATTGTTCTCGTTCTCGTGGCACGATTCTTGATTATTGGCACGTTATTCCAGATCTCAATTTTTTTATCGTTCAATGTTCTAATAAATTTACCGTCAATGGTAATTTAAAATATTTATGAAAAGTGAAAAAAAGGGGTTAACTTGAGAAAACGCATTTTTTTTTTTTTTCTTTTGAGAAACCGAATTTTGAAGAGCATGATTCATAATTGCGTTATAGGATAGGTTCCGTTGGATATTACCCCATGAGGGTAAATACAATAGCAAAACGAAGAGCCGTATTAATTTTTAACCGTAATCGAACGTTACAAATGAATTAGAATTAAGAAATCACTTCAAGTCCGACGGGCAGGGGGGCGGCGGAGGGTATAGGAGTCCACTCTCACTAACCATCTCTCTCTCTCTCTACCAGCTTGCAGTTGCAGACAGCTCTAACGGGGGAGTTTCGGTGGTTTTGCGGTTGTTTTCCGACGGAATGTCACTTTCCGGCCATTTTCACGGCCCCAAATTGGTTCCATTTCTCTCTCTATCTCTTAGGTTACAATGCAGCTTCTTGTTCAAACTGTCAGAATCATGATTCTTTCACTTAGAAAAGCTGTGTGAAAATTGGCTCCATTTGTCGCTCTGTTTGTATTTTTCTTTTGCTTTCTCGTCGATCTCGCTCTTTTAAGGCTCTGTTGTTCTTTGCTGCTAGTTGAATCTGATTTCACTCTCACTCTCGCCTTTTTCTTTCCATTTTTTTCTTTTGCTCAGGCAACTTTTGAAGCTAGATTCTTCCCTTTTTATCCTTTTTTTTCTCTTTTGCCCCTTTCTCCTTGTCGCTGCTCAGTCCGATTTTGAATCTGTAAAAAGTTGCTTTATCGGCTTTTGGCCACCTATTGGGCCTCTCTTGTTCTCAAGATTAGGGGTTCATTTCCTAATTTTGATTATCTGTTTAAGATTTTTTTCTTTATGGAATGTTTATCTTGTGGTTACCAGTTAAATTCAATGTAGGTCCCCCGAGACATTGATTTTTTATTCTGGCCTGTTTTGCTCTTAGAATCCACCATCCACCATGAAATTCCATTGCTGTTTAACTCATTGGAGGTGACTGTTCTTGGTTAACTTCTCAGAAACAGATCCTTGATTTTGCAGCCAAAATATTCAGGTTGGGATACTTCCAACTCATCTCATTTTTATGCAACTAAATGTTCTTGTTCTTTAATTCTCTGCCTGTGTATGACCATCCACCATGAAATGTTCTTGTTTCAGCTTTACTGGAACCAAGGGAGTAAAGGTATTGAGATGAATGGGATTCAGAGAAAAAAAGTTGGTAGTAATGAAAAACCTTTCCCTGGCTGTTTGGGCAGAATGGTGAACCTCTTTGATCTGAGTACGGTTGTCTCTAGGAACAAGCTTCTTACTGATGCACCACATCGTGAAGGTGACTTCTATTTTCCTCTGGATACCATATTACGTTCAAATTACTTAAGTTTATCTTATTAAACTTTCATTATTGTTTAACTATTGCTAGAATTTAATGGGTTCTTCTCTTTGACTGAGTCGAATTTCCAATCTCGTCTCATCTATTCTATCTCCCCTTTCCCCTTGATTTGCAATTGTCTTTGGTAAGGTCAAAATACTCCCTGATTCAGGCCCAACGTAAATATGGAAAAATAAGACTTTTTTTTCCTTTTGGACTTGATGAGGGGAACAAAATTTTGATTCGTTGCTAGGCGACTTGACCTGTTATCAATTGAAGTTATCAGCAATGCCGATTGACATGATTGGGCTATTAGTCTTGCTTTCTGATTGTGACCTTAAGTAGCTGTGCCTGTAGAGAGGAAGAGAAAGAAGAGAAGATAATGGATTGAAGGGAGGAGAAATGAAAAGAATATTTTTTTTTTTGTGGGGTGGGTTGGATTACCACCACTTTTTTCTGGTTTACCTTAATTAAAACCTAAAAAGATTAACCCCCTGGGCCTTTTCTCCCTTAGGACCTCTAGACTAATCTTCTTCTCTCTATTTTTCTCACAGGGGACATTGGCTGCTTTTGTGTAAATCCTTTTCCTTAATTATTCATTTATTTGTTTCGATGGCGACTTCTTTTTAGTGAACGTTATGTTTTCTTTGTGGGACCCACACATACAGATACTTCTTCTGGTGCTTATAGTGCTTGTTCATTTTGTTTTTTGATTGTGAACGGGATGACAGAGATGTGGCTATTTGGCAGGTTCTACTCTCCCAAGGAATCAGGCCGATGTGGCAAGAATGTTTAATCACTCCACAAATCAGACTGAAGATAATCTGGTAAATGTTGTGCTCCCCTTGTCCTTATAAACACTTATCACAAAATCTAGTCATATAGAGCTGGAGGTCCAGAATCAGATATTGATTTTTTTTTTCTGATTTTGTTTTGTCATCCACAACTCACTATCTTGGTACTTTGTATTTCGGTTGATTGATCAGACAGTGCCTGAATTTCAGAGAGCTTCGAAAAAGAGAGCAAATGGAACACCTGTGAAGATGCTTATAGATCAAGATATGTCTGAAGAGTGTACGAAAAATCCACCCAATGTGGTTGCAAAGCTAATGGGGCTTGAAACTCTCCCTCGTCAGCTTCCTTGTTCACCTATTCAAAGAAATAATGTAATAAGTTATCCGAAGGGTAGAATTGCAAAGCATGGAATGCCAATAGAATGCAGGGAACTAAGTGACTTATTAGAAGAGGGAATGAAATGTCAAGTCAATGAATGTTCAGAGCAGAAAGAATATAAAGATGTTTATGAAATATGGCAGCGATCTCCACAGACAAATGATATTAGAGAAAAGCAGCCAAAGAAGGGCATAGAAAGTGAAATTCTGGATGATAGAAAGATGGCTCTTGTTCGCCAGAAGTTTGTAGAAGCAAAATGTCTGGCAACAGATGAGAAACTGCGCCAATCCAAAGAATTTCAAGATGCTGTAGAAATCTTAAGTTCCAGTAAGGATTTGCTTGTCAAGTTTCTGCAGGAGCCAAATTCTTTGTTTACCCAGCATCTGAATGAACTCCCGTCCATCCCTCCATCCCCTGAGACAAAGCGCATCACTGTTCTTAGACCTTCAAAGGTCTCTAGGGATGAAAGATTTACTGAATTTGAGAAAAAAGGCTGTAGACAATCAAGGTTACCAGCTCAGAGGGGCCAGTCAGCTATTTTAGACAAAAGTGATTCTAGACTTTCTCCTACTCCAGGTATTAATAGGACTAATGAATATGCTGTAGCTGTTCAGCCAACAAGAATAGTGGTTTTGAAGCCTAGTCCTGGGAGGAATCATGATAATAAGCCTATAGTCTCATCACCTGGCTCATTGCCTTTCGATGAGGGATTTGAAGATGATGATGTGAAGGAATCAAGAAAATTTGCAAGGAATATTACTCAGAAAATGTGTGACAATCTTTTGGGTCGTCGAAGGGATGAAACTTTGCTTTCTTCCGTGTTTTCAAATGGTTATACTGGTGATGAAAGCTCATTTGAAATATCTGAGAATGACTATGCAGTAGAAAATCTGAGTGATTTGGAAGTCATGTCTTCCTCTTCACGCCATTCTTGGGAATATGTTAACAGATATAGTAGCCCATATTCGTCCTCGTCATTCAGCCGGATGTCATGTTCTCCAGAGTCATCCGTGTGCAGAGAAGCTAAGAAGCGGCTGTCGGAAAGATGGGCCATGATGACATCACATGGGAACTATCAAGAGCGAAGGCGTGTTAGGAGAAACTCGAGTACATTGGGTGAGATGCTTGCACTATCAGATGCAAAGAAATTGTCAGTAACGGATAATGAAGCTAATGAACATGAAACAACAAGTGAGTTAGAACCCTGTTTTAATAGTGATGAAAATATTGATTGTCTAGATGATTCTCCCACAATGCTTGCACGGTCAAAATCTGTCCCGGGAGCTTCTCCATTGTTTGGCATGCTTAATCTTGAAGCATCAGATCTTGAGACCATCAAAACAGATGATTCAAAGTCGCTAGCAAAGCAAAAGGGTGTTAAGTCATCACCTAATGAGGAAGTTTCAAGTTCGTTCTTTACCAGGAATAAGAAAACAAATAAAGAAAAATGTAGTGGATATCAACCAAAAGATGAACCCAAATCTTTGTTGAAACTAATAATAGCTAATAATAGAATAGAATTTGAATTGGTTTCAAATTCAAATTCATCCACAAAAATCTCAACCGACTACGGAATCACCCTAGAAAATCTCAACCCACTCTGGAATCCCCTATAAAAGGACCTCCCTCCCCATCATTCAAATCACTCCTCCTCTCAATCTCAATTCAGTTTTCTGTTGTCACCAACAACTGGTATCAGAGCAAGGTTGACTGTTCGACGCCCGGGGAAGGCCCCCGAAGGAGCCGTTCCCAGTCCGTCCCCCGGCTGGCACGTAGCGACCCGCTCTCGCCGCGGGAGTAGCTCGAGCAGTCCACCAACAGCCGACGGGTTCGGGACTGGGACCCCCGTGCCCAGCCCTCAGAGCCAATTCGCCATCCCGAGGTTCGACGGTCACTATGATCATTGGGCGATGTTGATGGAAAATTTTCTCAGATCAAAGGAGTTCTTTGATATGGTGGAAACAGGTTATGAAGAGCCAAAGAAGAGGCAGAGGTCGTGAGAGAGGCAGTCGAGAAAGAAGTGGAGATGTTGGCAGGTCAGCAGACCTAGTCAGAAACGATTATGACAACAAAGGCAAGAGACACTTTGACAAGTCTAAGGTGGAATGTTACAGATGTGGACGCCTTGGACATTACAAAAATGAATGTTATACCAGGCTCCAGGCTCCAAAAGGAGAAAAGAAATCAATCCAATTTTGTGGAGAGAAGAGAAATGTCATTCCATGCTATGAAGGTTGTAGATCAAGGTGTATGGGTCGTAGACTCTGGATGCAGCAATCATATGACAGGTTGTAAGAAATTCTTCTCAACTTTAGATGAAAATTTTCATACTACGGTCTCTCTTGGCAACAATTCATCTCTCCAAGTGATGGGGAAAGGAACCGTAGATATCAAGACTAGAAATGGCTTTGTAGAGTCTATTTCTAATGTATTCTACATTCCTGATCTGAAGGCAAGGGTATGTGATCACATTTTAAAATGATGAATGTGAAATTTATGACTCCACAAGAAGCATGGAGCGGAAGAAAACCTGCAGTAGACCACTTTAGAATCTTTGGGTGCATAGCATATGCACACGTTCCTGATGAGAAAAGGAAGAAACTTGAGGACAAGAGTTTGAAGTGTGTGTTCCTTGGAGTAAGCGAGACCTCTAAGGCATACAAGCTCTACGATCCTTTGACAAAGAAGGTGGTGGTGAGTCGTGATGTAGTCTTTGACGAAAATAAGACTTGGACATGGGAAGAAAAGATCACTGTGAATCAGCAGATTCCTGTAGATCTTGAAGAAGAACAAACTGAAGCTCCTATTCAGCCTCACTATGAGCATGGAGAGAGCTCATCACAAGCTCAACAAGAAGAACCAGTAGAAGAAGATCATGATCAAAATCAAAGACATCCAAGAACAAGAAAAAGACCAAACTGGATGATTGATTATGAGATGGATTATGAATCAAGTGATAGTGGTTATTTTGCATTCTTTATGGATAGTGATCCAATTGTCTATGAAGAAGCAGTAAAAGAGAAGAAATGGAAGGAAGCTATGGACAGTGAAATCAAATCCATAGAGAAGAACAAGACTTGGGAGCTCACTGATCTTCCTAGAGGGCAGAAAACAATCGGAGTAAAATGGGTTTTCAAAACCAAGTTGAATGAAAACGGTGAGGTGGATAAGTACAAGGCGCGACTTGTTGCAAAAGGATACAAGCAAAAATATGGAATTGATTATAAGGAGGTATTTGCACCAGTGGCACGTCAAGACACTATCAGGCTCATAATTTCTATTGCAGCACAGAAATCTTGGCCTATTTATCAACTTGATGTGAAATCAGCCTTCTTACATGGAGAGCTTCAAGAGGAAGTATATGTGGAGCAACCAGAAGGTTTTGTTCAAAAAGGCAAAGAGGAACAAGTATACAAGTTGAAGAAAGCTTTGTACGGTTTGAAGCAAGCTCCAAGGGCATGGTACAGTCGCATTGATTCTCATTTTGAAAAGATGGGATTCACTAAATGCCCGTATGAACATACGTTGTATGTGAAAACTGAAAAGGGAGGTAACATTATCATTATTTGCTTATACGTTGATGATTTAATATTTACTGGCAATAATGAAGAAATGTTTGAATTTTTTAAGAAGAGCATGATGAAGGAATTTGAAATGACAGATCTTGGCTTGATGAGATATTTTCTTGGAGTAGAAGTTACTCAGACTCCCGCAGGTAACTTTATCTGTCAGAAGAAGTATGCTCAAGAATTACTTGAAAGATTTAAATTGGATGAGCGCACATTTGGAACTCCATCAGAATTGGGTTTAAAGTTGCACAAGGACATTGACGGGCGAGAGGTTGATAATAGGTATTTCAAACAAATTGTGGGAAGTTTGATGTACCTAACTTCAACAAGACCAGACATCATGTATGCGGTTAGTATGATAAGTCGTTACATGGAGCATCCAACGGAAAAACATCTCAATGCAGCAAGAAGGATACTTCGTTATGTGAGAGGAACCTCTGATTTAGGGGTATTCTACAAAAAAGGAGATGATCCGAAGATAGTTGGCTATACAGATAGCGACTATGCAGGTGATATAGACGATCGTAAAAGTACTTCAGGAAGTATTTTCTTGATGAGTTCAGGAGCTATTTGCTGGTCTTCAAAGAAGCAACCTATTGTAACACTCTCAACGACAGAAGCAGAATTTGTGGCAGCAGCAGCATGCTCGTGCCAAGCAGTTTGGTTAAGAAAAATGCTTGAAATTCTTAATCAGAAGCAACCAAGTACGACGGTTATATATTGTGATAATATGTCAACTATTAAGTTGTCTAAAAATCCTGTGTTACATGGAAGGAGCAAGCACATCGATGTTCGATTTCATTTCTTGCGTGATTTGTGTAAAGAAGGCATTATTGAACTCAACTTTTGCCGAAGTGATGAACAAATCGCAGACCTATTCACAAAGCCCTTGAAACAACCATTGTTCGAGAAGCTAAGAAGAAAGATGGGGATATGCAGAATCCAAGATGTATATCAAGAAGATGAAATGAAGTCCTAAACTGATTTCGCAGAATTCAGTTTAAGGGAGGGTGTTGAAACTAATAATAGCTAATAATAGAATAGAATTTGAATTGGTTTCAAATTCAAATTCATCCACAAAAATCTCAACCGACTACGGAATCACCCTAGAAAATCTCAACCCACTCTGGAATCCCCTATAAAAGGACCTCCCTCCCCATCATTCAAATCACTCCTCCTCTCAATCTCAATTCAGTTTTCTGTTGTCACCAACAATCTTGTAGTGCTGAGACACTCTCATCCCTAGCTTTCGTTCATCACTCTCGAGGTTTGAGTAATGCTGCATCTCATTCTAATGATGGTGAAGGGTGCTCATCAAGCACTTCTTTCCTACATTTAACCAATGTGGTTGCAAGAGGAGGTGAAGTTCATCGTGAGGTAAATCTTTCCTTCTGTGGTTGTAATTAGTTGCATAATAATCTGTGTGATGCTAAATATCACAACATACATAATCATAGAAAGTTCTTCAAATTCAAATTCCATTCACATATCATTGGTAACTTGTTTATATGTTAAGCTACAAATTTCTTCAAATGTTTTGATCTAACTTGTGACAAAATTGGGTTTTCTCAGTATTGATGACTTTTTCTATTAAGTTTGCATACATGGAGAGTTGGAGTTGTATTAAGTGCCTGGCAGAATAACTCGAACGCAGTTGGCTTGTATCTGTTTCAGTAGTTTCATGAATATTTTTCTTTTCCAAATAAATCAAACCATTTGATTGTGATAGTACTTGAACAGGGTCGTTTGTTATGATTTGTAGGGGGGATTGTCTGTGAAAAGGCCTTTCATGACTGGAAATGTTGGTGAAAATCAGGAGCAGCCAAGTCCAATATCCGTTCTGGAAACACCATTTTTTGAAGATGACAACACACATTTAGAATTCTCCAGATATCTGAAGCCAAGTAATCAGGGTAATCAATCCCCCTCAAAATAAATAAATAATAAACGAACGGGAAAAGAAGAAAAGAAACAAGGAATGAAACGCACACACGTAGGCTAGAACAGAAGTTGTTTTGACTTATCCATGTATTTATCTGCATCTCATATAAATCTTTAACTGAACAGAGTTCTGTATGCCATTCAAGAATAACCTCATCAACAAATCGCCACCGATAGAATCAATTGCTCGAAGTGTATATTGGGATGGTTCTTCTTCAGATTCATCCGCTCGTGCACTCAAATCTTCACCAGTTTCCACTTTTCTAGAGGAAGAACAAAACTGGCATTGCCATGTGGAAGCCCTTCTTACATTGTCTGGCCTCAGTAGTGAAGTACAACAATGTGGCTTACTGTTTACTAGATGGCATTCGCTTGTAAATCCACTAGATCCATCTCTAAGAGATAAATATGCCAATCTAAGCAGCCAAGAGCTGATGCTCGAGGCCAAGCGAAGGCAGCTGAGATCGAGTAGGAAACTTGTGTTCGACTGTGTCAATGCTGTCTTGATGGATATAACATGTGAGGAACTCAACCACTGGCGAGCCAAATTATCGAGCAGGGCCCATGACAGCAGCTTTGCAGAGGGCACATCACTAACATTACTGGACTGTGTTATGGTAAAACTGAAGGATTGGGTTTGTGGGGAATTTAGATGTGTTACAGGAGACATTGGGGACTGCGATGGCCTGGTGGTGGAAAGGGCAGTCAGGAAAGAAGTTGGGGGAGGACATTGGGATGAGCAGCTGAGGATGGAAATGGATAATTTGGGGAAGGAAGTAGAGAGAAGATTGCTGGAAGAGCTTTTGGAAGAGGCCGTAGTTGAATTGACAGGTAAAGTATGATCATAATTCATTAACTCTCTCACCTTTGTATCTGATAATCAATAATGATGGTCCTCTGTTTTATGTTCTGTATGTTTAGCTAAGTTTGCCTACTTAACCTCTTTATTTTGTGCAAAACCCATCAGGTATAATAGAAGCAAATGTGCTTTATTTTGATCATTGAACTTTTGTATTTGATTCATCCAGAGTTCTTATGAGTTCGTAACAAGATAGATATGAGGGGAGCAGCATAGGATTTTGGAGTTGAGGGATAACATTGTAATAGTCCAAGTCCATAGGTAGCACATTTGGTTTTTTTTCGGGCTTCCTCTCAAGGTCTTTAAAGGAGAGGTTTTCAGACCTTGTAAGGAATGTTTCGTTTCCCTCCCCAATCGATGTCAGATCTTACAATCCACCCCTTCGAGGTCCAACGTCCTCGTTGGCACTCGTTCCCCTCTTCAATTGATGTGGGATCTCACAATTCACCCCTTTCGGGGTTCAACGTCCTTGCTAGCACACTACCTGATGTTAACCCCCCTTTGGGGCTCCGACCTTGCTGGCACACTATCCGATGTCCACCCCCCTTTGGGGCTCCGACTTTGCTGGCACACTACTCAGTGTCTGGCTCTGATACCATTTGAAATAACCCAATGTTGGCACACCGTCCAATGTCTGCCTCTGATACCATTTGTAATCGCTCAAATTCATTACTAGTAGATATTGTCATTTGTAATAGCTCAACCTCTGGTGTCTAGCTCTTATACCATTTGACCCAATGTTGGCTCACCATTCGTTGTCTGGTTTTGATATCATTTGTAACAGCTCAAGCTCAAACCTACTACTAGTAGATATTGTCTTCAAGCCCACTACCAATAGATATTATCTTTTTAGGGTTTTCCCTCTACGATATTGTCTTTTTTGAGTTTTCTCTCTCGCAAGCACACTGCTAGTAGAATTGTCTTTTTTTAGGTTTTCCCTCTACCGCAAGAGATATTAATTTGTTTTCCCTCTACATCAGTAGATATTGTTTTTTTTTTTTTTATTTTGTTTTCCCCCTACAGCAGGCCCAAGTTTGCACACTACCAGTAGAGGTCTTTTTTGAGTTTTTCCTTTCCCTACAAGGTTTTTTAAAAAATAGATCGAATAAAGAGAGGTTTCCACTCTTATAAAGGTCTTTTTTAGGCTTTTCCTTTCCCTACAAGGTTTTTTAAAAATGTGTCGATTAAAGAGAGGTTTCCACCCTTATAAAGAATATTTTTAGGTTTTTCTTTTCGAGCTTTCTCCTAAGATTTTCAAGAATGGCAGGAGAGTTTCCCACTTTTATAAAGAACATTTCATTCTGAAAAGGGGTTAAATTTATCCATGTGACTCATCATTCTTCACCCACTGAATTGAGTGCTGTGGGACACTGTCTCATCCATTTTGGGAGTCACTCAGCAGACACGTGATTGCCTAAAGTATTGACTCTTCCATGATAACAATAGTTAGGTTAAATTGTTTGTGTATATATAATATATATATATAAACTTGATTAGCTGCAGCCTGTAACAGCCTTTCTAAATGTCCTTTCAGGTATCTATTTCTCTGAGCAGTGTATACTAAAGGAGCCGTGATAGTAATGACCCTTTAAAGAAGGTTTCTACAAATAATCCATTAGATCAGACCTCACTCAGTTTAGTTATCATCAACCATCTACTTTTACAAGATTAGAATGGAAAAATAGAACTCATTCGAACACCTCAACTTCGATGATATGCTCATCTCATCACACACGCCAGGACCTTCCGTTCTTTCACAAAGCTGATTGTAATCTATCCTATAAGACCAACCAAAATCAAAGCACACACAACATAGTGGAACAGTTCCGACCTTCGGTTGAAATAACACGATGTAGCAAAGAGAGAATCTGGTAACGTCGAGGTTCCTCTGATCTGCGCAAGGAAGGTTTTCTGTTTCGACTGCTTGAGTTTTCTCTTCGGTTTACGAGATTTGATTCGATGAATTGTATCTGTCACTGTTGTTCAATCCATACTGCAAATGAATAGGATGGAAACTATATTTAGTAACAGATTTTGTGTAATTTACCTTCTTTCCCTTATCTAAAAGAGAACAGTGCAAGAACATGATACCTTCTCTCTCATTCGAGCACCCCAAAGGTCAAAATGAGCACCAGAAGCTTGATTTCCTGGTGGATTAAGCAATGGCTCCCGAGTTCTATCTCGAGCACCAATCTCCTCTTCTGTATCATACTCAGTTTTACGAGTTGAAACCATGGATCTCAGAATAATTGCTAGCAGTAGAGACAATGCCTGAGAGATTGCATTAAAGAATCAAGTGGTTGGTCATAAAAAGTATAATCAAAATGTTCCTGAGAGAATACACTATATAAACTTCGAGTAAATCGCATAAACGAGCAGGCATTTGCCACCATCAGAAGAAACACGAACCACCAGATAAATATAATCTGGTATCACTCAAATGTATATTAGATTGAACTTTGTCATTCATTTAAGAAATATCGTTATTTTTTTAACCATTAGAGTAGAAATTCGTTAGAATGATGAACAAAAATTGGAACCTAGAATGATACTCTAGTGATACCAAATGGAAATTGGGACCCAAAAACACCGCCACGTCGTTCCACGTCCTTGCCACACACCGTAATTTCCATCTAATATTCTATTAAGATTTTTACTCATTGATGAAAGGTTAATGGCATGCAACTACCGAAAAATAGGAGGTCTTTAAAACAAAAGGCAAAGTCCAGAGGTATTTTCTACAATTTCGCCCGTTAACATTCTACCACGAAATGGATTCAGAATTCAGAATATACGATTAGTTTCAGTCTATTCTACCTGGGTTGAAATCACAGTGATACCGATCCACTTGCATAGATCGATGTTATCTTCAATGAATTGCCTAAGTTCCTCCAATTCACCAGTTGGGTCCAACGGAAGATCCTGCACCATTGTTTTCAAGTAAATACATATTGATAGAGCAAGTAAATTTGCTTTCAAGTGCATAACAATACCTTTTCCCAACGGCGATCGATGCCAATAAATGCCACCAAAGCCACTTCAACGAGAATAAATAGCATTATAAGCATGTTATACTAGCATTGCTAGGTTAAGGGAAAGAGATGCTAAATAGAAATGATGAGATCCCACGTCAGTTGGGGAGGAGAACAAAACACCCTTTATAAGAGTGTGAAAACCTCTCCCTAGCAGACACGTTTTAAAACCTTGAGAAGAATTCCAAAAGGGAAAGCCCAAAGAGGACAATATTTGCTAGCGGTATGCTTGAGCCGTTACAAAAATGTTCACTTATCAAGAAACAAAGTTCTTCCCTTTTCAAAGGAAAAGGGTAAACACAAAGGATCAAGAGTTCCAAAAGTAGTTGAAATAAGGTGAAGAAGTGAACAATGGAAGAAAGTATATCCTCTTTCCTTGTCCATTTTGCTTGAATTAAGCCATTGGAATGCAACTCTTCAAACCATTTGTTAGGATCAGTAAGTTCCACACGAACACATGCGTTCCTATATCAAGTTTCTATTGGTCTCAGGAATTGGACTACGTGGGGTATGATTTTCACTCGTATAACTCGAGAACAAAGATAAATTCAGTTCCGATATCAAGTTTCTATTGGTCCTTGGGAATTGGACTACGTGGGGTATGATTTTCACTCGTATAACTCAAGAACAAAGATAACTTCAGTTCCTATATGAAGTTTCTATTGGTCCTTGGGAATTCGACTACGTGGGGTATGATTTTCACTTGTATAACTCAAGAACAAAGATAAATTCAGTTCCTATATCAAGTATCTATTGGTCCTCGGGAATTCAACTGCGTGGGGGTATGATTTTCACTCGTATAACTCGAGAACAAAGATAAATCCAGTTCCTATATCAAGTATCTATTGGTCCTCGGGAATTCAACTGCGTGGGGTATGATTTTCCCTCGTATAACTCAAGAAAAAAGATAAATTCAGCATTGAAGTATTTCGAATTCCCAAAACAGTAACTTTTCAGGGGAAAAAGGCAATATCTAGAACTGAAAAACAAGCTGTAATGAACTACAAATCATAGGATACGAAACAGAGGCAGCAACCACTTATTGCTTCAGCTGCAATACAGCCAACTAAAGCAATACAACACAACAAGATGCCCAATCCCATGAATGAGTAGATGAACCTGCCACCAAAGAGAAAACAGCAATTCAACAATCTTACAAGCCTATTGAATCCAACACTTAACGACATAATTACCAGTATGCAGCAATAATCATATAATAACTCAGCATAAAAAGACTTAAGAACTACCAAATTAATATACAGAAAGAGAATCAATCGGTAGAAGACTTCAGAAAAATTCATGTTTAGTTCACTTCTCAAAGAAGAGTCCCATCCATGATCCATCAAATCCCCAACAATCAAGAGTAAAATTGCTGCCAGAGAAGCTTAAATTCCTCCAAACAATCGAACTAAATTTCAAACAGTATAAAATGCAATACGAAGTTCATTGATTACAAAAACTTACCCAATTAATAAATCTGCCCTAATTAAGAGTCACAAGAAACACGAACGAATCGAAAATCTCACAGAAATTCCGGGTAACAAATTCAAAGAAATCTCACCAAGGAGCTGGAAGCTTGAAGGCGTTCAAATCAATTTCTAATTCCGTATCGAAACCGGGTGTCAAATCAGCAGCTAAATTGATTGGCATGATCCGATCGGCAACAGCAACGGATTCAGAACTTAAATAGAACGAAGCCGGAGAAGGAGCCAAAGCCGGCAAAGGAGACGGCGGAGGAGAAACAGGGAGGTGGTGGTTCCAGCGATCGAGCATCCATGCCGAATAAACTATAATCGAAACCCCAACAAAAGCCTGAAGAAAATTGAAGCATTTGATGATGAACGCAAGAGAAACATGACAGCAAGTGCGAGCCATGTCTGGTGGATCTTCGGCCTAAGAATTCAAACCCAAATCCAGATTCTCAGCGTTCCCTTCTTTTTGTTGATGGAAAGAAATGGAAATTTTCAGTGAAAAAGTAGAAAGGGATTTTGTAAAGGAAGAACAAGAAAAAGGATCGAAAGAGACAGAGTTGAAGGCAACAAATCGAAATCGTATGGCCTCCAAATCCCAAATCCCTTCGGATTCTGTATTCGAAATCGAAACGATTGATCGCGTGGAATCAAGGCTGTATTACTAAACTAAATCATTCAAGAACACTGAAATTTCCCTCTCTCTCCGATTTCGAATCCTTTTTTTTTTAAATAACGAAGAACAAGAAAACTATTTATAATTCTATTTAAGAAAGCGATCACATATTTTTAATCGCAAAAAATTATTGTTTTTTAAAATTCATTTATGAATTAAAGTAATATATATCTATATATATATATACAAATTACAAAGAAAAATAGATTTTATTTTCTAATTATTAGCATTTAGAATGGAGTGGAGGCCCAAGAGATAAATGACTTTCTTTTGTGGCCCATATAAATTTAAATTGAGGAGTATATATTTATTTTATTTTTCGCTCAACTTTGTTGCTTTGTCGGACGGTTGATGAGGTTTGACTTCACCAACCGAACACAATTTGTGCCGAATTCAAACTTGTTCGGTCACACACTCTTCGTGCATACATGTTCAATCGTGTATGACAAAATCATGTCATATCTCATTGTTATCTCGATTCCCAATAACATGATCCATGTATTGTGATGTCATCCCATGCCTCGTGACATATTGACAATCTAGGCTTGATCGACCATCTAGATTGTCTCGAGCATTGGACTCTTCCATGTCCATGCTAAATCGTCTACGATATACGTTCCAAATAGTGGGTACATAATCCAACATTTGCACATGGGCTGAGCCGTAATACTGACACACTCGTGTCGTTCGATACTGTCCTTGAAAAACCCTTTTCAAAAGAAGACGCTTGAGACACGAACCCATGTTGTGATACATGCATGTGCCACAGGGTAGCTTGATTAGGCCTCAGGGCCTAGGAGTGGTGGAAAGCCAACATCATGTCTCCCCTTATATATTTTGAGTCATTTCCAATACTTCTCAAGTAGACATCAGTTTGGTGGACAAACATATGACCTCGTGTATAGTCCGTTGGGTATCTGATTGACACTAAATTTAGTGAGCTTTCATCTTTCACATAGACGAGCTTAATTTTCGAGCTTCATGTCAAAACTCATATCGAAACTCCGACTTTTGAGGTTATGGCTCAGAGCCCTACTCAGCCCTCTTCGAGCTTGTCTTTGATACTCATGTTACCTCGTTCTCTCAAATCTTGCGTATCCTCGACTTGTATTCAATGCACATTCTTGGTGTGTTGGATGACGTACCGTCCTCCTCAGTTGCACCATGACACTTTTCAATTTTAACCTTTACATGGCCAAATGGGCGCTGCTCGAGGGGTGCCTACTTTCTCTCAGTGACGTGACATTAAACACGTGTGTATATATATGTATATGTATACGTACGTACGTACATACATACATACATACATATATATATACACACACACATACATACATACATATATATATACACACATACATACATACACATACATAATCCTCACTCCCTCCCCCATTTTCCATAAGAAATTCTCTACCCCGTTCGATTGGATGTGGGTTTTCACTACGTCCGATCCAACGAATTAAATTGACATCCTCCACTCATTCGTTAAATTATTGCCCATTAAATAACCCAGCCACGTGGACGATTAGTAAGGTCCCACTCGCACAGACCAACGTGGAGCTCACTTTTTGTCTCTTAACTGGCCAACATGGCATGATCCTAATGTGCCACGTTTGCACGATTTCCAAAGCCACATTGTTTTTAGCATCTACTCTTAATTTCATTATTATCTAGTCTCGCGATCTGAGCCGTTCATAAATCCACATCTTCCAACTATAATTTACTCACCATGACGTGGATAATCTGAAAAATGATAAGGCTTTTAATTAATAATAATAAAATAAGGGTCACACCATGATGCTAAGATATTGGGAGACATTGCATCTGTAGCTTTTAGTGTTAAATTTTATTATTTATTCAATCAGATAATAATTCTAATGGCTAAATTAATAAAAATATTATTAAATTTTACATTTTTTTTATTTATAAAATACTTTTATATTTTTAAAAAAATCAATAATATCTTCCCGTTTCAATGTTTATATATATAGATCTCTACCACAACTTTGTATCGTCGACTATTACTATAATAGTTTTGGTTCAAGTACCACAAAAGAACTTCGACGGTTCGTGTCGGGATTCCCTACTTTCATGGTGAGGTTTGATCCGGTGTTCAAATTCGTCACTTCGATCATTACTACATGAAGAACAAGAATTATATCGGAGTGTATATATATCCTTTCTAATTTTGAGACTCTAAGAATAATACGACTAAACTATATTGATTTATTAGATTTTTTTTACAATTTTTAATAAAAATTATATTAAAATATGAATATCATAAAATAATTGTTTTTAAAATGATAATAAATATAAAAAATTACTCTGAGGGAACTTGATTTTCACTTGGAATCTATGTCCGGATCCTCGCAAAAAATAAATTAGAAATTTAACGGAGATAGAGAATGAAATAAGTGGTAGGGCTTTCGGTTCAACGACAATGAAAAAACATTGTTTTTTAAATAAAAAAGTAAAAAAGAAATCAAAAGAGAAAAAGTTAGAAAAAGAAATTAAAAAGAAATAATAAAATAATAACTTTGCAGACATGGAACATCTTAACTATCAGAATTTACCTTACAATAAAAAAAAGTAAAAAATAAAAATAAAAAAAGGTAAAAAAGAAATTAAAAATAAATAATAAAATAATAACTTTGCAGACATCTAAACATCTGAACGGTCAGAATTCACCTGACAATAAAAAAAGGTAAAACAAAAGTACAAAAGGAAAAGTAAAAACAAAAGAAATAAATAATAAAATAATAAACATGAACCGTCAGAATTCACCTGACAAATATCTTACTAGTGATTTGCTAAAACATCAATGCTAGAACATCAATCGTCGTAATTCATCTGACAATAAAAAAGTAAAAAATGAAGGAAAAGAGGTAAAAAAAGTAAAAGATGAAGTAAAAGAGGAAAAGTAAAAAAGAAATAAATAATAAACATTTGAACCATCAGAATTAATCTAACAAATATTAGTGATTTGCTAAAAAGGTCCGAATTCATCCAATAAAAAAAAAGTAAAAAAAGAAACTAAGAGAGGAAAAGTAAAAAAGAAATAAATAATAAATAATAAATAATATCTTACTAGTGATTTGCTAAAACATCTGAACCGTCAGAATTCACGTGACAATAAATAAAAAAGAAAGTACAAGAGGAAAAGTGAAGTAAAAGGGGAAAAGTAAAAAAAGAAATTAAAAAGAAATAATAAAATAATAAACAGGTCAGAATTTACCTAAAAAATATCTTACTAGTAATTTGCTTGAATATGTCATAATTCACCTGACAATAAAAAAGTAAAAAAGAAAGTAGAAGAGGAGAAGTAAAAAAAAGAAAAACATATTAACTTTCTGACAAATATCCTACTAATGATTTGCTAGAACATATCTGAATTCACCTTACAGTAAAAAAGAGTAAAAGAGGAAAAGTAAAAAGAGAAATAAATAATAAATAATAAAAAATATCTTACTAGTGATCTGTTAGAACATCTGAACAGTCAGAATTCATCTTATAATAAAAAAAATAAAAAAAGAAAGGAAGAGGAAAAGTAAAAAAAGAAATTAAAAAATTAATAAATAATAAACATTTAAACCGTTTAAAAGAAATAATAAAATAATAAACATCTAAATGGTTAGAATTCACCTGACAAATATCTTACTAATGATTTGCTAGAACATATCTGAATTCACCTTACAATAAAAAAGTAAAAAGAGAAATAAATAATAAATAATAAAAAATATCTTACTAGTGATTTGTTAGAACATCTGAACCGTCAGAATTCACCTGATAAGAAAAAAAATAAAAAAAAAAGAAAGTAAGAGGAAAAGTAAAAAAAGAAATTAAAAAAATAATAAATAATAAACATTTAAACCGTTAGAATTCACCTAACAAATATCTTACTAGTGATTTGCTATAATATTGGAAGAGTAAAAAAGAAATTTAAAAGAAATAATAAAATAATAAACATCTAAACGGTTAGAATTCACCTGACAAATATCTTATTAGTGATTTGCTAGAACCGTTAGAATTCACCTGACAATAAAAAAAATTAAAAATGAAAGGAAGAGAGGAGAAGTAAAAAAATAAATTAAAAATAAATAATAAAAATGAGAAGTAAAAAAATAAATTAAAAATAAATAATAAAATAATAAACATTTGAACCGTTCGAATTCACCTGACAAATATTTTACTAGTGATTTGTTAGAATATCTGAACATTAAATTCACCTTTTAAAAAAGAAAGTAAAGGAGGAAAAATAAAAAAAATAAATTAAAAAGAAATAATAAAATAATAAAAATGTTCACTGAATGTACCTGACAAATATCTTAGTGATTTGGTAGAATATTTGAACCTCTTACTAGTGATTTACTAGAACATTTTTACGGTCATAATTTACTTGACAATAAAAAAGTAAAAAATAAAGTAGAGGAGGAAAAGTAAAAAAAAAAATTAAAAATAAATAATAAAATAATAAACATCAATCAGAATTCAACCGATAAATATCTTACTAGTCATTTGCTTGACAATAAAAAAAAGTAAAAAAGAAAGTAACAGAGGAAAAGTAAAAAAAAAGAAATAATAAAATAATAAATATGAACGGTTAGAATTCACGTAACACATATTTTATGAGTGATTTGCTAAATAATAAATATGAATGGTTAGAATTCACGTAACACATATTTTACGAGTGATTTACTAAAACATCTTAACGGTCAGAATTCACGTGACAATAAAAAAAAGTAAAAAAGAAAGTAAGGAGGAAGAAGTAAAAAAAATAAATTAAAAATAAATAATAAAATAATAAACATATGAATATAATATCTTACTAGTGATTTGCAATAACCTCTAAACTATAAGAATTCACCTGACAAAAAAAAAAAAAAAAAAAGGAAAATAAAAGAGAAAAAGTAAAAAATAAATAATAAAATAATAAACATTTGAACCGTCATATCTTACTAATGATTTGTTAGAATATCTGAACTTCGCTGACAATAAAAAAAGTAAAAAAAAAAGAAATAATAAAATAATGAAAAACCGTCAGAATTCACCTGACAAATATCTTACTAGTGATCTTAAGGTAATATGATCATAATATTGTAGGTGCTCGTAATGGGATGAAATCAACTAAACTGATTCGATTTTTTCACTGAAAAATATTTCACTAGTGATTTTTTTATTCTTTAAATAAAAAAAATAAAAAAGAAATTACAAGAGGAGGGAAAAAAAATATTAAAAATAAATAATAATAATAATAACTTTGCAGACATTTGTACCGTAAAAATTCACCATCACTAACAAATATCTTACCAGTGATTTGCTAGATAAAAATAAAGTAGTAATATGATCATGATATTATAGTTGCTTGTGATGTAATGAAATCAGCAAACTGATTCAGTCTTTTCAAGGCTTCATCTTTTACGGTTAAGAGTGTTCTTTAAATCATCGAACTGATCCGGTCTTTTCAAATATGAATAGAAAGAACGATCTAAAAGGGTGTACATTTTTCCATATTCGAAACAGGTTTTCAAGAACACCGTTTCGTTGGTGGAAAACCAAGGTCAGTGTCCTATGTATTGAGTAGTTTGAGGTTTCGTGTCGTGCTAGAATTATTCAATATATAGTTTCGTGTAAAAAGGTCCATTCATTTTTATACTTTTTCATTATGAACTCGTGATAACAAGAATATGCGATATAAAATTGCTCGGTATTAAAATTTATGAACAAAATCGACCAATTGCCCAAACCCGAACATAATAAGTAAAATACTTGGCCCTTAAGAAAGAACTCGAAATATGCTTATTATAATTTTGTTTTGGAAATTGCCAATAAACTCAATATTTTGATGCTATATCAAATATCATTTCATTATTTAAAAAATTATTATTTGGGATGCAAGTGGACTTATATAATTTATAAACAATGTTATCACAATTACAAAAAATATATATAAAATAATTAAACGTCGCTTCAATAAATATTATTTTATGGTAAAAAAATCAGTACTTTCGAGTACTCATATGTGGATATAATAAATAATTAATTCATAATGGACAAATAAAAATATATAATTTAAATAATAATTAAAAAATGATAAATCCCTAAAACTTTAAAAAAAATTGATATAACCGGTCACTATTTTGTTTAAAAATATCCTTAAAATTTAAAATATTTCATTAATATCCATTATTTTTAAATAATAATAACCCATATTTTTATATAAAAAAATTATTATTATGAGCTTTGCCTAAATTTTTTAATTTTTTAATGTAAATTTTTTAATTTGTAAATATTTTAAAAACGGGTAATAATGATAAATGTATTTTTGATTTTTTTTTTTAATTTTAATTTTTTAAATAGTTTGATATTTTTGAAAAAAAGTGTGAAACTATTAATAGGATATTTTAATTTTTTTTAAAAAGTTTTAAGGATATTATTAAAATTTTGAAAGTTTAAAGATATTGTTGAGATAAGGTATAAATAAAAACGTATATTTAATAATTAAATTATTTTTTTAATAAAAAATAACGGTCAGGTTATTTTTAGGTCTGAATGTCTGTAACTTTTCAGAAAAAGTATAAATTTTAAGTTATTAAAAAATTGAAATTAGGGGTATACTCAAATTGGATTAAGTTGGTGACCTGATCAACCTGATGATAGTTCACAACCTTTTATTTCCGGGCTAAGTTGTCGGGTTTCTTTTAAGAATTATTTTAAAATTTAAATATCAAACATTTACGAGTGATAACACATCACTAATGTCGGTTACAGACGTTGAATATTCTTAATCTTTATAATAATTTTAAAAGTAGAGTAGGGTAGAGTAAGATTGAGTTGTAACCCTATTTACGAGTTGGTCGAGTTGACCCGACCAAAAAAATGTCAACTCCCACGAACCAACCTTAAATTTTGTTGTTCGGTGTGCTCGTTACTTATTTAGCTCGACAAGTAAGTATGTAATTTTTTTTTTGTTTTCCAAAAATTTAACCAGACACGACGTCCCATTTGAATCGGTGAACAACCAAACCCTTGGGACGTTCTTCAACTTCAGGATGTGATGAGTCAACATCGAAGTGCTAAACGACTCCGTCGATAAGAGCTCTTGGGAGTCATCAGCCTGTTATTCCCAGGTGTACCTTTGATCCGTTGAACGAGAGCCCTTCCACATAGAACTCTCGGATCACTATGGTGGACTTTCGTCTCTATTCATGACTCTCCCGGTTGCCTATATTAGGAATTTCATCTGCAAAGGTGTTTTCCCATACATTTTTATTTTTCTGCATAATAAAATATTGTCCCCACCAATAATTATCCTCTGCATCTCTCTCTTTCTAGGACCACGTGCACCCTCTGTTGGTCCCGTTTAATTCCCACATCACTTATTTACTTCGTCGTGGACCATCCATACTCCACTTCATTTAATTGCACCGTGCTCTGCGAATCACCGGAACAGCTAGAAAATAATGGATAAATCAGCCCTTTCACCGACAATACATAAACGCAGGATTGTGTTGGATTAAGGTTCTTTTCGGTTTGTGTTGGATCACGATTCGAAACATGATGGTTTCAACATTTTCCTGCGATATGGTCGGGTTATTTATTCCTCGTTTCAAAGAGTGAAAGCTACAATACTATAATGACTCATATCTAGAGTTCGACACCTGATGACCAAGCCATTGATCATTGATCGGGTTACTTATTTCTCGCTTCTAAAAGTGAAAGCTACAATACTATAATGACTCGTGTTCAGAATTTGAATCAAAATTCGACACCGGACAACTTTAACATTTCCTTACGACATGATCAAGTTACTAAATTCTTCGCTTCTAAGAATGAAGACTATTACTACAAACCAACAAAAATAATTTCGGCTATTGAATTTTTATGATTGAGCCGACTTTCAATTCTCATAATTTTTGAATCAGTCTTTAGTACAGATTTGTTGTTTCGTTATTACTCATCAACATCAAGCTCGATTTGTCCTCCATACAACAAGTGGGGGTGCATGACTTTTGAAATTGCCTTTCCTCTTTGACACTAATGTTTGCCTTTATCCTTTGTAAGACTATCTACGGGGCTGGTTAGGTCGTTACAATTAGTTCCATGTATTCGGTGTCTGGTTTTGACACCATTTGTAATCGTAGAAGCCCACTGCCAGTAGATATTGTTCTTTTTGGACTTTAAATTATGAGATCGCACATTGATTGAAGAGAGAAACGAGTGTTAGCAAAGACACTGAGCTTCAAAGAGGGTGAATTGTGAGATCTCATGTCTGTTGGATGAAAGTCTCACATCCGCTAATTTAAGGAATGATTATGAATTTATAATCCAGGAATACTACTACAGGTATGTGCATGAATGGTGATGCGCGGACCCATAATAATAATAATAAGTAAATGATAATATTTTTAAGTTTGAAATAATTTATTTATTTTTGTTTAAAATGAAAAATGCTCTTCGGGAAAGAGAGTACATTGATTTGGGCGCATAACTGTCAAAACCCCAACTCGTCCTTTTCCGTTCTCTTTATTCAGCACAGAAGGGAGAGAGGGAGGAGGAGAGAGAGAGCTTATCCCGGAGATTGACGGCAGCGAAGAGCTTTCACATTCTCACGACAAGCAAAGTTTTGCAGGCAAAAGGCCCAACCAGAGCTCTGGTTAGTGGTTTCTGCGTTTATCTTTCCATTAGAGCAGTTTGTAAGCAACTATGAGCAACCATGAAAGACAGCAAACAATTTGAACGGCCATGGAAAAAGGGCAGTACGTTTGGGAAACAGACGAAATAAGAACTTTCTGGAGAGTAATTTGTAGAGAGAGTTCAAGGACTTGGGAGGCCTTTTATTGATTCTGGAATTTAGTTCCGCCGACGTTCGATCATTCAGTTTTGATGCGGTTTCAGAGCGTCAGGAGACGTAATTAACTGTTGAACGGATTCGACTTCTTGTTGATTCAGGAATATGGTTTTGTTGTTTTCTGGAAGTCGTCAGTAATTACTTGGGTTGTCTAGAAAAGAGGATGAATCACTGCGTTCCTGATTTCGAGAGGGACGAAGATTTCTCGCTTTCTAATTCTTCCGTGCAATCGCGCTTCAAAACATCTTCCATGTGAGTGTTTGTTTGTTTCTTTATTTCTTTATTGTTTCTCGATTCGAGATTAGTTTGATGGATGCGAGGCCGGATACTTTAAAAACAGGTCAGACGGCGAGGTTATGGAACTTCTTTGGCAGAACGGGCAGGCGATTATGCAAAATCAGAACCAGAATTCTAGAACGAAATCCCCACCTTCAACAACCGCCGAGCAAATTACGAGTGGAGATAATCAACCTTTTCAACAAGATGAACCACCGCAGCTTTTCATGCAGGAAGACGAAATGAGTTCGTGGCTTCATTATCCTCTTGTCGATGATTCTACCTTGGAGAATAGCTTCTGCAATGAACTCCTCTATCATTCGGATCCTCGGAGTATTGAGCAAAACGATAGCGTTTCTTCTCAAATTCGTACTAGTCATGGCGTGGAGTTTCAGCCGTTAACGACGACGGCGACTTCAACGATGGCTGCTCGGCCGCCAATACCACCAATGAGAAGAACGGAACCGGAAACAGAGGTAAATAATTTCGGACTCTTCTCGAGGTTTACACCTACGGTCGAATCTCCTCCGTCGAATTCGAAGAGCATAGTAAGAGAATCTCCGGTGGTTGGTTCGACTTCGAGCAACACAACGGTGTTGACGCTCGAATCTACGGCTTCGGAATTACGGAGGACGGCTACCGCCGATGCATCAATCGGTGATTTAGCCTGCGCGGTGATGAGCGGTGGTGGAGTAGCGGCTACATCGACTGGTAATGGTGTAGGGCTGATGAAGATTATAGGTGGTGAAACAGAATCGATTCAAAGGACGATGAGTCTTGAGGACCGGAAGCGGAAAGGGAAAGAAATGGATGATTCCGACTACCAATGCTACAGCCCGGTGAGTCTTGCTACAAACTCGGTTAATCTGGCGTTATTCAACATTTTTTTTTTCTTTTTTTTTTTGATTTTATGTTCCTTTCATTCCTTATTTTTCTTCTTTTTTTGAGAGGATGGTTCCCATTGATTTCTTTTAGAATTTCGTGTGTTGTTCAGCTGAAAAAAAAAAAAAAAAAAAAAA